ATTAAGAAAATATTTTCAATATAATAGTTTTAAAAATAAGAATTTTATGCTTGAAGAACTTAGAATTAAAATTAGATCTAGTACTGAGATATACAAGAATTAGAAGATCAAAAGCAAAAATATCAATTTATGTTATCATTAGCCTCCGGTATTTCTCTAGTACACTATAGTTTGAAAGTCATACAAATAAATAGATAGTTAACAATAGAACAAGAGGCCTTGCAGCAACTAATATAGTAGCTTAAGAATTTAACTGTAGAATTAACCAGATAATTCTCAGCCCAACATCAAAATAGTGGTAAACCACTAACCTCCTAAAAATTGGTATCAGAGCAGCGTTTGGTTTTAGGACAGTTTAAGTTAGTTTATGCATTTTGCTTACAGAAATAGAGTAGTTTTTATTATTGGTCAATTTAGTTATAAGATTATAGATCATTAGCGAACATAATTCTCAGTGAAATAGTATTATAGATCATCAGATTAATTTTGCATAAAATATTAAAAAGGAAGTAGATAAAATCAATAATCTTTTTCTTCATCTATAGACCATCTTCGTAATACTCGCAGTATAATTAAGGATTAAGATAAAAAAAAATTAGATTATATCCAAGATCAGCGTAGCTTGATTCTATAAAAATGAATAGATTTAAATTTAGAAAAATTTCCCACCAAGTTAGAAATAGAAACTCTAATTTCAACTATAAATATTAGTAGTTCGAAGCAAATAGAGTTAGAATTTAAGCAATTAATTGAAAAAATTCATAATCAAATAAATCAAATAGCCAAACAAATAGAACAGATCAACCAAATTCAAGATATTTTAAAACAAAAATTAGAAATTTTAGAACGACTAATAAGATCTTAATTTATGAGAAGTGATAAAAAAAAGCTAACAGAGATTACTAAGTCATTCTAAAACAAGCTGAAGACTTTCATAATAACCCAGAGGGAATTAGTAGCTGTCAAGGAATAAATCAGTTAGATAAAATATTTGTAAGACAAAATAATATAGAAATTTTATTTCTTATCCGGTTGTGTGAAAAATTTGAGAAATTATCAGAACAACAACACAGTTTAGAAAATCGTTTAGCTTCACTAGAAAGATTAGTACTTCAAAAAGGAAAAGTAGTAAAAGGACAAGCAAGTAAAGCTCAGTCTTAAATAAGCAAAGAAGATATATCTAAATATTTTGAAAAGCTTAAATTATCAAAGAAACCTATTTGTAGAATTTATAGAAAATAAAAATGTTTAAACAGTTAGTAAAAGGAAGTAGCAGTAAAAAGCGTAATGAAGATGAAGATGTTAAAGTAAAAGAATTTATAGTTATAGAATAGCAAATAAAAAAATTTAAAAAGAAAAACTAGAGTTAATTCTAGCTAAAGTATGTATATAAGCTAGGAAAAATTCATAAAAAACAATATTTATTTAAACACTATGGTGAACAAATGATTAGTATAATTCAAGAAGATAAAAAAATAGAGCTAAATTTAATAAATAGAGAAGTTATAATTATACTATAAATGAACATCTCAAAATGACCCACTTAGGATTAGTTGTGATAGGAGTTAAGGCTTTAATCAGAGAAAATTTAGGAGCTAAAATTTTTGTATGTCTTTATGATGATAGGTTTAATGATGTAGGACAGAGTATTTTAGGCAGTTATGAATTAGATATGAATCAGAAAGGAGGAATAGTTTATTTTCCACCAGATTTCCTTTTACCAATAAAACATTTTGGAGTTGTTTTACTCCTAAAGCCTCCTTCTCCTAAAAAGTCAATCAGATTAATTAACTCTAACTACCATTTTTTTTAATAATCCACTTGTTTGGAAATCAGGGCGTGACAATCTCAAACCCCATTTTGGCATTCTGCCATCTCGGCTTCAATATATGCAACATAGTTGATTCCAAGCGACAGGTTCAAATTAAGACGTGCACCTCTCTCTGGTACAATGAACAGTTTAAGTGAACACTTTCTTTGCCTTTTTCTTATTCATTAACTGTAGTCGCACAAAGCAAATTGCATTTTCCCCATTGTGCTCATATACATACAGATATACCAATGCGTACTTGTATTTGTTAAAAATATATATGTGCGCACATTTTGCAGCATCAAGTAGAAAGAATAGTAAATGAGTTCGATTTAAAAGAGAAAGAAAAGGCACCCCCAGTTTTTTGAGGTCATTATTGCTAGAGATTAGTTAGTGAAATGAGATGTTTAGGCCTTTTGATCCACATATTGGCAAATAATTTAACATTTGGTAAATTGTTTAGGCCGTTCTTTTTTCTTTTGATTAATTTTGCTTTAAAGATGATTTTAGTATTTGATGAAATGGTTAGTATTTGATGATTTTCATATTTGTCGATTTTGTTAAATCGCATATTTTTTTTTCAAGTTCAACTTAATTGAACCCTTATGATAAATATTGTGTTACTTTTGAATCTTAGTAAATTTTACTTATTTATTGATATATGTTTTTGCAGGTTATGCTGAGGGAGTAGTTGGGTGTGGGTGATGCTAGGAGCCAAAAAGGGATTATACCATTTTTCTAGTTTTGTTTATTTATTTAATTTTTTATAATTTTTATTTTTATTTTTGAGGACTTGAAATTTTTAGTACTTTGTATCAATATTTTTAAGGATGGTTGATGGATATTTGTTTTGTATGTATGAAAGTTTATGTTTTGTTTGCACACTTATATATATATATATATATATATATGTGCATAATTAATTTGTCAATTTTATATTATTTTTTATTAAAAACATTTCGTTAAGGCTTGCAATAGATATTTTAGTTGTAGCAAAATGTATATATGGTTTTTATAATAAATAATTATTTGCAATAGCAAAAATCCATCGCTAAAAAGATTTTATTGAAGTATTTATGAAATGTCATAGAAGATTATTCGCGACCGCAATAAGATGGTCGCTAAAACATAAGCATCTTATTTTTTGAGTTTTTGCGACGGCATAATAATAGACACTAAAAGTAGGTTGGGCGGTTGCAAATAATTTGCGATTGCTATTTTGTTGTCACAAAATATTTGCCGCCTCTGATTTGTTGTTGCATAGCCATCGCAAAAGGTCTTTTGCGACCATATTTTCATTATTTGCGACAGTTTGTGGCGGTTGCAAAAGTACTTTTTTTAGTAGTGACTGTTGTGCCTCAATTTAGGCCCATTTCAGGACCCATTTTGATGATTCGAACGGTTCACATTTTAGGGTACATCGAGTAGAATATGCCTGTAAAAAATCAAGTTGATCAGATATTGTTAGTCCTTTCATTAAATCACATTTGTATTCAGTTTTACATGTAAAATCATATTTACCATTAATTTTTCTAGATACAAATGTGATCTGATGAAAGGGCTAATGATATCTGATCAACTTGATGTTTTACAGACATATTCTACTCAATGTACCATAAAATGTGAACGGTTTAGATCATTAAAAAAGATCCCGAAATGGGCCCAAATCGCAGCACAATAGCAGTGACCCCTATTCCCCTTTAAACTGGGCATACCAAATAATTTTTCTCAAATTGAGAAGACTGACAAAGTCATCAAAACACGTCTTTGGTCGTTTCCTTGACTATTTTCTTTTAGTTTTTTGGACTTTTACCATGAACTTGCTTTGTATGGGAAAAATTTTCAACTAATCCCAAGAAAATAAAACTCAATGCTAAAAACTTAGTTATGTGGTTAACAATTATGGCAGATGTGACATTGGTTATGAGATATGTGGTATGCCATGTGGGGTTTATGGTTATGACAAATGTGGCATTGGTTATGAACTATGTGGTTAATGATCATGCGATATGTGGTGTTGGTTATGACATACATGGTCTATGATTATGGCATACATGGTTAATGGATATGAGATATGTAGCATTGGTTATAAGATATGTGCTTGATGGTTATGAGATATCTGGTTAAAGGTTATAAGATATGTGGTTTAGTTATGACTTGCATGGTTAATGGTTATGAAATATATGGCATTGGTTATGAGGTATGGTGTTGGTTATGACATTTGTGGTTATTGGTTATGAGATGTGTGTGGTGTTAGTTATGAGATACGTAGCATTGATTATGCGTAAAGTTGAGCGGTTATGTGATATGTGGTATTGGTTATGTGATATGTAGTATTGGTTATGATATTTGTGGTTAATGGTTATGAGATTGTGTGGTGTGGATTATAGGATATGTGGTTAAAGGTTATAAGATATGTGGTATTAGTTATGAGATGTGTGGTATTGGTTATGTGATATCTAGTATTGGTTATGATATTTGTGATTAATGGTTATGAGATTGTGTGGTATTGGTTATGAGATGTGTGGTTGTGGTAAAAGGGGTTTTTGGGTGTGCTCTTTGATCCAAGCAGGCAATCTTGATTCTCGGGTTGCTACCTGAAATGGAAATGAACACTCCGGTCGGGGGTGCCAGAATTAGCACTCCGACGGATAAATCAGTATTCTCTCAAGTTTTCTTATTTCTCAGGTTATCTTTTTTGTTTTCACATACCTCACTTTGGCTAATGCTCCTCCTTTTTATATTGCTCTCCAAGGGCCTGTTGGACAATCTTCACTGTATTTAAAAAGATTAAATTCTGTTGTGTACAAAACAACAACAAGAATAAAAGAAACAGAGAAAAGAGAGAATATCTTTGATTACAAAAATCAAACTCAAAATAAAAATAAATAAATAAAAACCACAGATTTTATTTTGTTACAAAAACAAAATTAAAATCTGAATAAATAAACAAATAAAAACCAGAATAATAATTAAACAACTTACTTGATTAATTTCTTTGAATAATTATTTGATCAAGTCCAGTGTTTGACACTGTGTCCTTAAGACAGATTCGTCCTCTCCACGGTGCTTTCAGAATGTGGACGTCTATCTCCCAGGATAAAATGATCTACTACAAACAATAGCAGCACTACCAATTGTTTGCCTTACGAACACACTAAGTGTTTATACTCTCTCTGACAAGAAAATAATGCAGAGTAGCAACGAGACAAATGCATCTTCAAATGCAAGTGGATGCAGAAAGGTTACTTCATGCACGTCAATGGATATACAACAACAAATTTGTAGATCACAACTGAGCATTCCACTTCCCGGAGTTTCAAAGGATATGGATTCAAATTTCTTATCCAAACCGAGGGAAAAAACTTCAGAATCTGAAGATCTTGAGCTAGTCGGGCTCGGGTCTCCTTTGAGTTTGTCCAATTCTAGTGTCGGTGATGCTCATACATCTCCACATTCTGCTACATCCGTGACTACAGATTTAGGTTTGGGAACATACTCTGCATCTACAATTAGGGAACCGAAGAAACCCACAAATCAGACTACAGATCTTGATTTGGCAACTGTGAGTACCTTCAACCATCCAGCTCAATCTTCATCGGGCTCTTGTCTTGTTTTTGACAGGCAGTTTGATCAGAGGGATTTCAAGATGCTGTATAGGGCGCTGAGTGAAAGGATCAGCTGGCAAGAGGAAGCGGTAAGTGCTATTAGCCAAGCAATAGCTCGTTGCAGGACAAGAAATGAAAAGCGCTTTGGTGCAACTGTGAGAGGAGATATATGGTTCACTTTCCTTGGACCTGATAGCTTCAGTAAGAGGAGAATTGCGTCTTCCCTCGTTGAGATATTATACGGAAATAGGGGAAACTTTATCTCTGTGGATCTAAGTTCCCAAGAATTGAATGGTTATGATGTGAAGTTCAGAGGAAAAACTGTGGTTGATTATGTTGTAGGGGAATTGAGCAAGAAACCGTTGTCTGTTGTGTTCCTTGAAAATATTGACAAGGCCGATGTGATCACTCAGAATAGCTTATCACAAGCCAGGAGGACTGGAAGATTTTTGGACTCATATAGAAGAGAAGTAGTTATCCATAACACGGTCTTTGTGACAACCTCAAGATTTAGTAAGCCAACAATACACCCCACTCAACAACATAACAACAAGTCAGTTTACCAGGCGCTAGCTGGAGGGGTATGGTACCTTCGATTATTAGCGCAGGCAGTTCTCCAGGCGCTAGCTGGAAGGTAACGGTACCTTTGATTCTAAGCGCGGTCAGTTCTCCAGGCGCTAGCTGGAAGGGTATGATACCTTTGATTCTAAGCGCGGGCATAACATCAACAATCACAGCACATCAAGGCATAACCAACATATATAATGCATATACATAAACCATCAAGACACCAACAATGTGTTAAAGCATATGAACACATGACTATCTCCTTTCGAGCAAATATACATATATATAATGTATCTAGCACTTCATCACATACGATGTTCAATTAATCAATGGTAAAATGCATACCCGACAATTCCACACAATCGTGTCATCCTCCACCGATGACCAAGGACAAAACCTCTAGATGCATATAGTTAGTACATCTATTAATAGATTCAAATATCATGAATCACAAACCCAACAACAACATTAACATGGTAGTTAAAGATACAACTTCTACATGTGTGTTCAACACTCAAGATACAACAATCCAATTCTCAAACTTATTTCGAAAACACTTCCCTCATTTTCACAAAAACGATTCCATTTCCTTTTTGTTATCACAAAACCAACTCCACTAATCTTGTTTTCATAAAATCAACTCTAAAGCGATGGTTAATCCCTTAGGCATTAACACCCTTACCACACTCATTTTGACAAAAGAGATTTACACACAATGGTCAACAAACCCCCATTATAATTTACCCAACCAAAATATAATTTAGGGCTTTTCTTCTATTAACTGCAACATGCTAATTTATATTCTAATTAGCCAAGACAACAATCAATGAAGCCAAAACCATTCTCCAACACAACCCAAAACTCTAAGATAAAGAGAAAGGGATAGAAAAGAGGATAAGACAACAACAAATCTACGGAACCAAGTCCGGATTACAGTTAAACAACAACAGGGAATACCGAGATCGCTATAGGCATCCTCTTTGAGCAGCTCACTTGAGCGGTCATTTCTATTCAGCCCCCACAGTGGTATTGGTTATGCTCAAAGTGGTATTCGTTATGTGATATCTAGTATTGGTTATGATATTTGCGGTTAATGGTTATGAGATTGTGTGGTGTTGGTTATGAGATATGTGTTTGATGGTTATAAGATATATGGTAATGGTTATGAGATGTGTGGTATTGGTTATGTGATATGTAGTATTGGTTATTATATTTGTGGTTAATGGTTATGAGATTGTGTGTTCTTGTTTATGAGATATGTGGTTAATGGTAATAAGATATGTGGTAATGGTTATGAGATGCGTGGTATTGGTTATGTGATATCTAGTATTGGTTATGATATTTGTGGTGTTGGTTATGAAATATGTGGTATTGATTAGGAGTCTACAAAAGATTATGAGATATGTGGTGTTAGTTTTGGATATGTGATATTGGCTCATAACTAAGTTATGAGGACAAATGGCAGTCACTTGTAACTAAGTTATGATGACAAGTGATAATGACCTATAACTAAGTTATGACCAAATTGGTTCTCGTTATGAATATGTATGGTGTTGCCCTATAACCTTAGAAAATGACCTGAAGAACAGGTCATATTTTGGAAGGTGACACTTTCTAATTGATTATTAAAGGATGTGTGGTACATCCTTTTAGTGGGATATACCATAGCATCACCCCGCCAACTTAATTGTGATCATTTGCTTAATTTAACCATAATATATGTATATGTATACATGTGTGTGTGTATATATAAGAGAGAGAGAGAGAGAGAGAGAGAGAGAGAGGAGTGATGTTCAATGTGTATGAAAGTGATGATAGTTGATATGTACGTCGAATAGTATGGACTAGAATGAGGGAAAAAAAACAACTTATGGAATTTTAAAATTTTTTATGTTCTATGATGAAAAATATTTTACATATAAAAATATTTTACTTATTTTCAGCCAACCGAACAACGGAATTTTATAGCAAAACAAATCGGAGCCTGAATGTTTTATGTTTGGCATTACTTCACTTTCCAGTAAATAGATGCTCTCCCTGAGATCCTAATCAATTTTGGGTCAAAATGACCACTTTGATAGGATGGTGCCCATTATTTGTGAATGTATTCTTGTCATTGCACTCTCAATGTGGGTTATTGAGTGGAGATTATAATTAAATCTTATATTTGAGAAAGAGTTTGTGATAGAGAAAGAACAAGAAAAGAAAAATGTAAAAATATGGTAAGTGACATTCGCACTATTATTTTTCTTATTATTGTAAAAGTAAATTTCATATTTTGTTTTTAGCATGAAAAATTAAACTAAACACAATTTTCAATACACACTAAATGAAAATTTTTGAGTGTAATTATAAAAAATTTAAGTTATATTTCATTCACATTTTTTTTCTTTTCTTTTTTCCCACACAAATTCCTCTCAAAATTCCAGATACAAACATAATTTTTAAAAAACTGACATTAGTTTTATTTTAATTAGGCACCTTACACATGTCATTCTAAAAACGTTAAGAGATAATATGAAAAGTGGAGTGTTATAACAAAAAATTCAAGAAACAAAATATTTGTCATATAATTTCTTTCCAAATGAAACCAATCACAAATAAATTGGGACAAAAATTTGATGACAAAAAGCATTTTTATATGAAAAGAAACCATGAAATGAGAAGTTTGATTTGATGAATATGATGAGTGCTTTGCTTGAAAATGAGTGGAGAGATGAGAACAAAAGTCTATAACTATAGTCTTATCAAGCAACAAAAATGCCAAATTGTAACAGGCAAGGTGGGCCGTGGAATAAACCATGCGATTCTTTTCTTTTTCTCTATTTTTGCAATAAATAAAAATAACTCTTAGCCTATTAATTAAAAAACAGTAGAGATCCAAATTTGTAACGCATTAAGTGTTAACATATATTTTAATATTATAATGTATTATTGGTTTGATTTATTTTCTTTTTCTCCAAGTTAATCCCAAATTTGACCATTATTAAGTGTTAACATATATTTTAATATTATAATGTATTATTGGTTTGATTTATTTTCTTTTTCTCCAAGTTAATCCTTTCTTGATGTACAAGAATCCTTTAAGTCTTCCAAGTCTTTGCCTACTCAAGTCTTCTTCTAAGTCTTCCAAGAGTCCAGTCTTATCCACCAAGCTACTTCCAAGGAGCCTTCAAACAACTTCCAAGAATCCTCCTCCAAAAAATTTGTCCACCAAGCTTTCATCTCCTATAAATTGATCTAACTTCTTATCTTGGAAGAGAGAAGAAGTTTTTGTTGCTTTATTATGTTTTGTGTAAGATTATCAGGCAAATAAAAAAGAGTATATATGATAAAGCTTTGGATTCAACCAATTATACAGTATTGGTAAACCATACGACTTAGTCGGGCTGTTGTATCTTGGGGGACAAGTCAAGGTTTTTTTCTGCACCGGTGTGAGGTTTTGCCTAACCATAGAGGGCTTGAATCTCCTTAAAGAGAGCGAATTTTTCGCTCCTTAGCCCTTACAATAGTTATTATAATTTTTATTATTTGTATTTTTCAGTGTTTTATTTGTAATTATCAGCAAGAATTTTAAGGAGATTCAAATAGCAAAAGTTCATGGAGCCAGTACTGGAGAAGCCCAACGAGAATACCGGTGATCTCAACAAGCCCTTCCGGTTCAAGGGAGCCCATTTCAAGAGATGGAAAGGCAAGGTACTTTTTGTTGGACATTCTTCACTGTATTTAAATAAATTAAATTCTGTTGTGTACTAAACAACAACCAGAATATAAAAAAATAAAGGGTCTGCCTTTATTATCTCAGATTTTCGATTAAGGCTTCAATCATTCATTCTAGCCTATTAATCCTCAGATCAGAAGATTCAGTTTCGTTCACAATCCTCGCCCTTTTCCTTGTTTACACAACAGGGTGATTATCAATCCAGGAGAGGTTCTTACTGACTTCACGTTTTATTTCATATCAGACGTGTGTATGCTTTCAATTCAACTCAGGTACGGTCACATGACCCCTTTACTACCACACGTCCATAATCTCATAGATTCCATATTCGGTATTAACATTCACATTGCATGTTATACCACTTAACTTCTTTAAGTATGCATGTAGGTTGCGTTCATTTCACCATAGACAGTACGGTAATCATAAGCACAGACACGTTGCATACTTAAACACATTAACACATTTATTCAAATCATGGCCACACACTTCTCATGTTCATGCAATGCCCTAATTACTTTTCTAGGACATCCCATAGCTCACTTGGACACGTGTGTGCAGTATAACTCGTGGTTAAGTATCGCTCTGATACCACTCTGTCACGACCCAAACCCGGCCCTATGGGTTTAGCACCGTAACCGGCCAGTAATTCGAGATTACCGAAGGCCTGCCTAACAGTAATCCAGTAAAATAGAGTACAGGGCCTGGCGGAAGCCAATACAGTAAATAAACAATGTTCAATGAGCTGTGACAGTCTACACATACAAGTACAATCATTCAGAACAGGGATCTAATCCCTAATAAATGGTACAGTAATAGTCTATACAGTAAACAAAACAGTTACAGTACAATCATTCAGAACAGGGATCTAATCCCTAATAAACGGTACAGTAATAGTTTATACAGTCTATACAGTAAACAAAACAGTTACAGGGACAGACGGGGAATATTAAAACACCCTAAAGCCGAAGCTTGAACGGCTTAGAACCTCACAGTGAGGCACAGTGGTTGGCTGACAAAACAAAAGCTTGCCTGACGCTCCTAGCAGCGGTCCAGTGCCTGAACACCTACATATATATATGAGCAGTGAGCTAAAGCCCAGTGAATAACATAATGCGTAAAGAGGTTTAGGATGAATGTCTTTTCAAAATTTAAACAGTTCATTGATTCAGTATATCGGTCAGTCAGTTTGTGGCTCATATTGATGTCGTAACAGTCATTTAGAAATCATAGTAATCGTACGTGGCACATCCGTTAGCAGTACTAGTAGCAGTGTCAGTACAGTAGCAGTAACGGTAACAATAAAGTAGCAGTAACAGTAACAGTAACAGTAACAGTACAAGCAGTACAGTAACAGTAACAGTACAGTAGCAGTACAGTAACAGTAACAGTGCAGTAGCAGTACAGTAACAGTAACAGTACAAGCAGTACAGTAACAGTAACAGTACAGTAGCAGTAACAGTGCAATAGCAGTACAGTAACAGTAACAGTACAGTAACATTTCAGAAAACAGTACAGTTCTTATGGATTTAAGAGGTGTCTCGCACAGACTCTAGAGGTGGCTCACTCTGTAGCACTTAGTTCCGTGCAGCACTTTGCTCCAAGTTTCACTGATTATAACAGTCATCTGTGGTACATCCAGTAGCTAAACAGTACAGTAGGTCTTAACAGACCAGGTCTTAATAGACCAAACAGTGAATGATGGCCATCATATCAGTAAACAGTAGTGGTTCCAACATGGGAACCGACAGAGATCTCTGTAACAGTAACAGTAAGCAGTAGTTGCTAAGGATGCCACAATACAATTCAGAATATAGGTCATACATTCATTCATTCAGTTAACAATAACAGTTCAGAAACAGTTCAGTTTAATTGTTCAGAAGATAAGCATTTTGAACATATCTTTACACAAATGTTACTCACAGAGTTCTGGGCTATAGTAAGCTAGAGCGTCTCCTCGGAAGTCAACCCTACACAGTCAACAGATCGAACACACACTAAGCTACACAGTTGGGAAAGACAATAACTTAATCCCTAAGTTGCCTCGGTGTGTTCTACATCTATATCCTCATTAAGATGTCTTAAACTAGGCCTAAGAACGCCTAGAATGGGATGAGGATGCAAAGATGCACATTTAAAACATTTTCAGAAAAACAGAGTCCCGCTCGAGCTCAAGTTTCCCCGCTCGAGCGGTCATGCAACAAAGGTCTCCGCTCGAGCGTACATTACTCCGCTCGAGCGGACTGTAAAACAGTGCAAGATGCTGGGAGCTCGAATTCCCCGCTCGAGCGCCACTTTCCCCGCTCGAGCGGGAGACCAAAATCTGGAAAATCCAGATTTGAACTCCAATGCTCAAATCAAGTTCCAATGCATCAAATTCGATCCTTTCGGGCTAATTTTCTGGAAAACACTTCAAAACTCATAGTATAGCATGTTTCAAAGATCAATTTGAGAAATCAAAGCCCAAAGGTAGTTCAATTAAACATGATTTCAAACCAAGTTTCAAGAACAACAACTCAAATGTGACATGCATGATCTTAAATCATCTTCAAAGCTTTAGTGCTGTTTCAAAAGAGCTCAAACCTTCAAAAACAAGATGAACTCATGGAGTATGACCAAAAGATGGACATGCATGTGAGGTATTATGAACTACAACCTCAA